AGGCCAAAAAAAATCTTCTGAAAAAAGAACAGAATTCCCTAGGCATATAGAAAAGCACATATCTGTTATATAGGCTGCAGCTGAAAAGTAGAGAATAAAAAGTAACGAGAGAAACCCAAGAGAGAACTTATTTCTTTCTCCTCTGAAGCAACTAATGTTCTTCAGTGACCTATTATACATCCATGCTGCTGAAAGATCTGTAACAGGATTAGGGTATTTCATGCATTCCAGTTTTCCAAGGCAAATAGTAGCTAAAAGGAAAACTACTTTCGAGGGCTTTAGAAGGGCTGCATTAATGCAATGCAAACTAGTCAGACATTGCATCTGTACTCAACTGATGAAAACAAAGTTATTTAGCAAAGTCATTAAAGCATGATTAAGGTTTGATGGGACAATATGATAAATGTGGTAGGTCCACTGTGATCTGAATGCTGCCAGTATTGATTAACACCCTTAGCAGCCCAGTGGGAATCCTAGATAGGATGCATTTCACATATAAGGCATGGGAATCAGAATAAATCCTGGATAACAACTGCTATATCATTCAGATGAGTATTTTATGTTCCTCTAGGACCAGTAAGTGAAACAAGAAATAAAGGAAAGTTGCCAAAGGATTCGTTTGACTCCCCAGTGTATGTGGGGATTTACACGTGCTGAAGATATGAGGCCAGATTCATACCTCGTATAATTTTACCAACTTAGCTGAATTTCCCAAGGGTTAAATTTGGCCAGCAGTATCTGACTGGTCAGCTTAAATCAGACAAGTATTTTGATACATGGGAAAATAATCATTTATATATTGCAAGGGAGTACAGCTAGCAGAGACACCAAAGCAAAGAAAGTAATTACAGGGAGAGTAGAGGTAGAGAAGATTGTTTTGCTGACAGGAAGAATCAAGCTGTTCCAACTATGAGGATCATAATGAAATGATATAAAACCAGGCGTGGGGAAGGGGCAGGAGAGAAGCTGCAGAACAGGATTTACAGAAGCTTATGGAGGAAGAAGGAGAACAGAATAAATTTGTAACTGCTTTGTTAGCAAGTGTGTCACCACTTTTTTAAAGGTGAGGGAAAGCTTGGGCTTTTTGTGTTGAGGCAGAAGCTCAAAGAAGTTTGACGGAGAGAGAGAGAATGGCAAAAGCATGAGGGTGCTTTTAACTTAAACATTTCTGCTGTACTGGTAAGGCAAACAGTGAGATTTGGAAGGAATAGAAAGAGCTGTGTTTTATCAAGTCAGTCAAGCATTTGAAGAAGCATGAGTTAAAAAGAAAGAACAAACATTTGTGATTTGAAGGGACAAAAGGTTAAGGGAAGTGTTGCAGATGAGTCTGAGGTTTTGAGTCTAGGCAGCTAATGATGATGATGAGAAAGTAAAATCTAGAGGTTTGGGGGACTTTGTTTTTTCAAACGTAAACCCTAGGTTCTTTGTTCCAAATTCATAACTCAACATTCAGCTAAAAAAAAGAAGTGTCCATGAAGCATTATGAAGACTATAAACTATACACAGCTCATTAAGGTTTGTGTAAATTGAGAAGATAGAATTATTAAGTAAAAAGTGAAACATGTAGTGCGGTTTCAACAGATGAAATGTTGGTTTGGACTCATATTCTTCCTTTATTAGAAGAGCCTTTAAGTAATTAGCAATATTCTCTTATGTCTCTTTCTACTTAATTGCTTGATAATTTTATTATTATTATTATTTAAAAGATCTATTGCTGGTGTGTTTTAGACTCTGAAAGGTTCCTCCTTCTTTTGGAAGAGGTCTGCAAAGAGGAGTCTAGTAGCCTTGCAATAGGGTATTTCTATTTATTTACCATACCAGAGTCTTACTGTGGGCTTTACTCAAATGCTGTCTGCAGAGCTAAGTGCTTACAGGTGGGTTTTATGGAGAGGGCAAAGCAGGAAGGGCTTGCAGGTGTGACAAGTCAGAGATGGGAAGGCTACAAAGCACTAAAAGACAGGCCCAGGGAGTGTTGTCAAGATGAAAAAAAAAAAATTATTTGAGTGTGTTATCAATAGGTAATGTTAAAGATGTGTCAGTAAGTGTGCTTTGTTTGGAGATGTCTGTGGGCTGGCTCTTTTGTGTGGCCACTTGGAAGTATGCCTCCATAAATATGACTGTTCTTGGCCATACAAGACCATAGGGTGTTTTAGTGGATTGGGTTTGCTAGTTTCCTTTCTCTTGCTTTGTGATATGTTGGCTTAGGATAGATCTTTGAAGTCTAATCGAATGTCTACCATGTGTATCTCTTATCCCCTTTTTGACTTTTTTTTTTCTTTCTGTTTTGTTTTTGTTCTGTTTTCATCTGGCATAATAATATTAACGAGTAAAAGTTAGGCTCTTCTGCCGACTGGATCAATAAGGGAATTGAAAGTGTTTCAAGATAATAAGCTTTGTGATATGTTGGCTTAGGATAGAGCTTTGAAATCTAATTGTATGTCTGCCATGTGTATCTCATCTCTTTTTTGTCCTTTTTTTCTTTCTGTTTTGTTTTTGTTTTGTTTTAATCTGGCATAATAATATTAACCAGTAAAAGTTAGGCTCTCCTGCTGACTGGATCAGTAAGGGGATTGAAAGTGTTTCAAGATAATATGCAAGCTCCAAGAACTGCAGAATCTGCATCAGCTCTGCCTTTCCTGCTTGTTAAGTTTGTTTCCTTCTATTTATGTCCAACAAAGTTTAATGAAACAATAGTGATACTTTTTTTTCCTCTGATTTCTGTACAGGAAAATGACTCTTTCAATTTAGCAGCCTGTTATGTGCACCAAGTAATCAAGCGCAAAGCACTTCTTAATTGCCCCTTTAAAATGTCTATACTCCTGATTCAAGTACAGAAATAATATCTTTTAAAGATAGGTCTTGGTCTGATACTGTGCCATCTCAGAAGGTGTATTAATAACATGAGGAGTAAGCAACATCAAACTTTTCCCAGTTTGGATCATCTTTTTTACATTAATTACAGCTGAGACCTCTGGAATAGGCTACCTTGATGAAATACGTTTCTATTCTTCGAGATTTTTTTCCTTCATCTGTAAGGTTTAGATTTACACCAAGAGATTTTTATCTGATACAGCAGAAATACTTCGATACAAAAAAAGGAAAGCAGTTTTGCTCCTGTGCTTCAATAGGTTCATTTGTTTAATACCTCTATGCAAAATTTCTCTCTTGGAGGTCTATTTTAAAGTCCTTAACCAATGGCTGTGAGTGCCTTGACTCTCAGCATCTAATCACTGTGATGATGCTTTCCATCAGCCATCAGCATAAGGGAAGCTTAGTTCTACCCTTCCTAGAGGAAGATGCATTAGTCTTAGTAGGGGCTGCTGTGGGACCCATTCAGTGGTTATTGGGAGCTGCAAAATCACATCGTCGTTTTTGTCTCAAAGAACTAAGTGTCTGCTGTGCACAAGATGTCCCCACAAACGAAGGAGCACAAGGGATAACGGAGCTTTTGAGGGACCTTGCCAAAGTTTTCACTCACTGCTGGCATGTTGTTTAAGGGTTATTTAACACATCAGGTGCAGCTCCTGCCAAAGCCATCAAATCATCAATTTTCACCAATTCACCATATTGGGTGAATAAGGTACTGCTAGGAACTGAAGAGGACATACATTTCTTTGTTATTTCTTTAAGTGCCTGTCTTGGTTAGCCTGTGTATAAACCCCAGTTAGTGAATACTCACGGATACTCAGAAATACTTTACTAATCAGAGATTAATCGTATTTGTTTAATTCAGCTTATTGCTTTGTTAAATTTAGTGAATTTATTCTTAAATTCTCCCTGCAAAATCTGTGCAATTTACATGTGTGAACTAAGCCCCTGAAAATGCCCTGAGGCTGGTCAGGTTGCTACTGGTCAGAAAATGCCCTGAAGGCAGGTTACTGCTTTTAGGTAATCCAGAAGATGATGAAGGAAAAAGTGCAGACTTACCTTGCTTGCAGAGAAGAGTTGTTTTTGTTTGGCTGTTCCTGATAACATAAAAGCCTGGCTTGCTGAATAATCCATGAGGAGCTAAATATCTGCCATCTGAGGTCACAAAATACTGCTGCAAGCAGCTTGCTATAAAGGGTAGATGGAGCAGGCATAAAGCAGGCCAAGAGCCCTAATCAGATTTCTGAGTAGGTTCTCACTTGGTTGCCAGTGCCACAAAATCCGGTCACCTTCTGATCCTTTTATTAACTGTTTGCAACATACAGAAGTTTTAATTTTCATTTTGCACATAGAGGACTGAGGTCTACTAAGAGTAACGAGATAGGCAAGCGTTGCTCACAACATAATTCTTACTTAGATGTTTAATTCTAGTAGATTTCAATAGGAGTTAAGCAGCTTAATGCCTCTTCGGGTCTGAGCTTAAATGGCTTATTCCATCACCTAGGAGGACTGTGGAAAGGGCAGTCATATTGTTTTAATCTTAGTCCAAGTCTTCTGCTTTTCAGTCTGATCTCTGGAGATGATGTGCTGTTAGATGCAGTACAAACATGAGGTACAGCAGTCACTGCCACAAACGCACTCCAGTTTACAAAGGAGGGGGATTATGGGGGAGAAGGAAGGAAAGAAAGAAAATAGTAAGAAAACAGCAGTATCTCATTCAGATAACCACGACTGCGGTAATTAAAAGAGCAGTTCTTATTTCCTGAAGGTGTGGAGTAAGAGATGATGAGAGAGGATTTTTTGTTGTTGTTTGTTGTCACTCTTATGTTACAAAAATTGAGTTTGGGAAAAGTGTTTTTAGTAATAAGCTGAAGGATAAACGCCATTAAATGTTGTCAGTGGAAAGAATATGGAGTGTGTGGAATTGCTGAAGAAAGGGGGGATGAGCCATACAGTGAGAAATGGGATAGCTAGTGCTGCTGGACAAGTCAAGTAAAAATAAATAAATAAGTCATCAGTGGGTTGGCTGGCTTATAAATGCATTTTAAATACCAACTGCAGTGAATAGCACTGGTACGAGATTCATGAGAACTAGCTCTGTTCTTTGAACTTGCGCTTTAACTTGTTTGCAGAAGCACGATGGCCACTTCACCGTCATCCAGCTGGTTGGCATGCTGCGTGGAATTGCCTCTGGCATGAAGTACCTCTCCGACATGGGATACGTGCACCGCGATCTGGCAGCCCGCAATATCTTGGTCAACAGTAACCTCATGTGTAAGGTCTCCGATTTTGGTTTGTCACGAGTGCTGGAGGATGACCCTGAAGCCGCTTACACAACAAGCGTAAGTTTCTCTTATCTAATTTGAACAGTGTATTGCCCTGTGCCAGCTATTTTTCTGTTATTGCAGTTTCACACTTATCTGTGCTCCAGGAGTGGTAGTTTGAATTGGCTGATTTTGTTCCACTATCAGTGCATGTGGATTGGTACCACTGTCAGTGTTTTATGGGAAGTTCTTCTGATTTTGTTTGGGTGAGTGGTTTATTACATCATCGTTGGTGAAAACTTCTAAGCAAATGAAAAAAAACATTAAGCAATGTTTAAAGCAGCTACAAGTGTGAGACTTTTCTATGCTTGAGTTTCTGTATCATTTCCAGTTTTTCTTTCCTTTTTTCATTTCCAAGTATATGATTTTTAAACCAATGGGAGAAAATCTCAGTGATTACATTGTGGAAGGCCTTTTTTTTAGTTATTATTATTTTTTCCTCTCTCACTGAAAACAGCGAGTTTTTCTTTCCTTTTTTCATTTCCAAATATATGATTTTTAAACCAGTGGGAGAAAATCTCAGTGATCACATTGTGAAAGGCTTTTTTTTTTTAGTTATTATTATTTTTTTTCCTCTCTCACTGAAAACAGCATGTGTCTGTGTTTTTTGTTTGTTTTGTTTGGTTTTTTAACTGGCTAATGCAACCTTAACTTCAAGTTTTAAGTCTCATCCCATTAATTCTTAAAATTCGTTATGCTGTGCCAGTAGACTGTTGTTATGAGAATGAGAGGCTTTTTTCTTTTTTTTATATATTTTTTTAGTTTTCCCCCTCTGAAGTGAAAAATTCCTGAACATGGAGGAGCTTGTTCAAATTTGACCTAGAAGAAATAAATAAACTGTATCTGCAGCATGATGGAAAATACGAAACTCAATATGTTGGTGTGCGCAAAAAACAAAAGCACTTCTTCATTAGAGCAAAATGTTCAATTACTTTTCTTTTTCAATTACCTCTTTATTACTGTAATGCTAAGAATCCAAGCTAAATATAATCTGATTTCAAGTAATGTTAATCTCTATCACTAACAGAAACTAAAATGACTTCAGAGCCAGGGCATGTTCTCATTAATATTCTCCCAAAATGCACAGGATTTGTATGCCCTCATGAGAGGGCCCAGTTCAGAATGCTAATAGAGATAATAAATTAGCATTAAATAATTTATTTCAACCTATTTCTCCAAAAATACTTTCTCCTTAAAAGGTAATTTATGGTCAAAATGGGCAACTCATCTAATTTAACTGCACTGTAATAAGTACTTGCTTGTTCTGTTGACTTCAATATAACTACTGAAATCAGGTTACTCATTTTATTTTGTCTAAAACCTGAAATGGGTATTTTCAGAGAAATGTATCATGAATTTTCACCACTTTTTAGAACAAGAATGTTATGTAGAATTCAAGCGAACTAAAACAGACAGGTTTCTTTCTGTTTTAATGTTCAGACCAGCTCTCCTTCCCCCAGGAAAGAAACTTAATAGCTTCTTCATCTACAGAGGAGACTTGTCTAGTTCTCAAAACCTCTTTTGCTTCACACTGATGTGTGAGGATTGGAGGAAAAACCAACATTACGCTAGCTTAACAGTTTATTGCATGTTGGCTAAGCCTTGCTAATCATCCATGTGAGCTTGTTTAACTGGCAGCACATGCCCACAGCAAAAAGCAAACTAAATGCCATTACTCAACATTGATTGTGCAGTGCTCGGCTGGTGGAAGACACTGGAAACTGCAAAGCAGTTTTGCCCAATTAAATTCAGGAAAAACACCAAATGATATTTGAGGTTCTCGGCAATTATCTATCCTGTAAGTTTTTATTGGATACTGAACAATTAGTTTCTCCCAGTAGCTAGTGCCTCCCTTTTTTGTTGAGCTGCTTTTCATGAGGAAATTCTACTCCTTTAAGGCAGAAACATTTCATGGAATTATATCTGTGTCAACAGGACAAGTTTTTGATGAAGCACTTGCTATTTTTGTATTGGTTCACCTGGCTGGTTAATGTGAGAGTCTGCAAGCCCAGGCAGCTGTTGTAGGAAGGTCACCTCAAAGCCAGTGTCCTCCATTCTCCAAGGCTGCAACCACAGGCCGAAGCAGAAAATCCCCCCAAAAATCTGCTTTGTCTCCTCTGGTCCTTGAGACTTTGGTTTTCCTGATCCCTGAGTGCTCCAGACCCTGTTCTGCATTGTGCTCACTCTGCATGATCTGGCAAAAAACAGGTTTTCCCTGGGTTGCTCTTCCTTACCATATCCTCTACCCTGTGAGTCTTGTTGCTCATGAACAGGTTAAATATGTTTCTCCCTTTAGGGACCTGATTAGCCCAGTCACTTTTAAAAAAGGTGGCAGAGTACAGTGATAAGGAGGAAAAAAGGAGGAAGGGTGTAAATGTCTGTCATAGTGGCTATGGAGAACTCTGAAGGAGTTCATTCTTCAAGCAGGCTTTCACATTAATGAAAGAGAATAAAACCCCACACGGGAAAGGGGACATGTCATCCCTTTCCTGCTTTCACTGTCCGTAACACCACAGGCATTTCTTCCAACCATTCTTTCTTTCTGTGGTAAGTAAAAAGGTAAAAGAAGTCACCGATCAGCACCTTACTGGTCAGGAAATGAATAACTTTGTGATTCCATTCAGATGTCAGGAGGAAACCAATCTCTCCCGAACATATAGGAATTTATCAGTGATTTGATGCCTGGCAAAACTTGACAAGCCTAAACTCTACCTGTGTGGTTATTGAAGAGAATTATGAGCTCAGTGTTTTGCCTATTACAAGTAATAAATATTCTTCCGTAGGCAGGAAACTGTTCACTAGCAGAACCTGCTGGTGCTTTCACCTAATTCATGACATTCGCAGAAAGGAAGTACTCCAGGATTTCTTCTTGCGGAGACATGCAGCATGTTTACTGTTTAACTAATAACTCAAAATAGTGCAAGAATGCTCCATTACCTGATATTCTGGGAGAATTTGTGAACACTTTCCAGCATCAGGCCGCATGTTGTTACTAGACCTTTTACAGAGTATATATATTCAGTTTAATTTCATACTGTGTTTTTGCCTCATGAAGTGTAAGCCATCAATGCCTTTACTAAAATGCTGTGCTCTTAGAATTCAAGTTTACCCCTGCAGAGATTTTTTTGGTAACCACTAAGTTACCTAAGACTAGAAGAAATCTGTGTAGTTGATCAGCATATTGCATAGTATGCTTCTTAGGCTTATGTTTACTTAATCTATCTATCTATCTCCCGATACACTACTCTGCCAGTCTTCAGAGGAAATCTTGATTTGTTTTTTTGTTTTGTTTTTTGTTGTTGTTGTTGTTGTTGTATTCCTAGTGCTAGAAATGGATAGGTACAATTGGATATTTCCTTTGGCCAAAAACATCTACAAAAGAAAAAATAACCAATTGAAAGCTGAAGAATTGGGTTTTCTTTCATCATATCTGTTGTGTGGGCCTCAATAGTAAGTATATCTATTTACAGAGATGTAAAAATAGTGAAATGAAGCAAAAAGTAAATGAAATATTGTAAAACTTGTGCCCTTTAACAAAACAAGTTGTATCCTCCCCAAAATAACCCAAGAAGTCGTTTTACCTTTTGAGCTTCCATGTCTCTGCAGGCACAGCCTTAAGTCATAGGGAGTCTTTTGTCATCTTTTGCCTTGTCCTCCTGTTGTCACCCAGTATGTGCACTTTCATCTTGACCCGCTGGCCTAGGGCAGGTGTCTTGTTCTGACTATTGGAACATCTTTTCACAGACAGGGCATTAAAAAAATGCAGTCTGAAGAAAAAACAAAGGGAGGTTTTGGAAGGAGATCACCTAGAAAATTATTACGATCCAGGTTTACGCTGAAACACTAGTTAGGAAAAGAATCAACTAACAGTGATGAAACACTTGAATGCCCCACATACCGTGACTTAAAGTCAGTATGTTTCCCAAGAACTTGGGGCTGTGACATTACTGATCAAAGTAATAATATAATTTCAGAGTAGGTGGAGGAATTAAGACCTAACAACAGCCAACTTACAATCTTTTGTGTTTCAGATTGATCAGGAAAGATGAGGCAACTTCTGAGATAACTGATTAGTGTGTTTCTTTCCATGGAGACAAAATTTTCATTTTTACTAGTGGTTTCCAAGGTAACTGTAGCTCATAAAAAGACATTTCAAGTATATAAACAACCATTCCTGTCAGTACAGAGAACATCTAGGCTCCTGTATCCCTGGTTTCAGATAGACTATGTTATATGACGTGGATTCATTTTCTCTAAAATACAGTCAGGATTCAGCTACTTTTACAACAGAACTATGAGCTTTCAGGAAAACCTTGTATGTGTAGCAAAATGTGTTCGAACATGTAAATTGAACAGGATATGTGGCCTTACTGCAGAAAGGACTAAACTGGTATTTCTGTTAATGGCGATACCTTAATATACTGCTTTAAAACTTATTTTAGTGAGATAAAAAGCTGCTGCAGACTGAAATATGTGTTACATAAAGAAATACATTCCAGTTTGTTCTTTCTTACCCGCTTTATTTCTCAATTCAACCTAAATATAGTTAAGTCTTTTTCCATAATACTACCTAAAGAATTGAATTATTGCCTTGACTTTACTGGATCACCTGATGCACTTCCTAGGTCTTATCCTACTCGGAACAGTTAGATAAAATACCCTGTCCGGGCAGATTTCAAGTTTATTAGTTTCATGAGAGGAGCAAAACAGATAATCTATATAAATACCAGCAAATAGCAAAACGTCTTGGGGATCAGGATTCAGGCTTAGCTCAGTATTTTCATGTCATTAGTTTTAAAACTTCTATATGTCAAGACTGTTTTCTTGTTTTAGCACATGATTTCTGGAGATGGGAAGAAAAAAGCCTGATTTGCTAAAAAGTGAATTAAGGCACAAATGATTTCTCTAGTTATTTTGGGATGTCAACTCATAGTTTCTAGAGTCCTTGAGTGCTAAGCAATTTGCCTCGACATTTTCTTTAAGAATCAGCTTAATCAGAGACAATGGAGTAAATTGGC